AGTTTTATTAGTGACAAATTGGTGCATGTGAGATCAAAATCAGGGCTAATCTAGCATGATCATAGAGGTGGACAAAAAAGTGGAACGTAATTCTTAACTATGGCTAAGATATTTAATTAGAATATTTTCTTTTTTTACTGTCATCAACTTCCAAAAAACTAGCACTGAAATACATGAAAATTGCAATAAAATATTATACAAGTGAAGTGTTTATACAAACTTTTCTTTTGCAATATTTCCATTTGCTTGCACGCTGTTTCAACATTCGGATTTAACTACTTGATTTTTAATATATTTCAGTCAGTCAAATGCAGAATATAAGCATATTAAAATGGAGGGGGTGTTATAGACAGCATTTTCCTATTAAGAATTGTCAACAAAATCCTTGAAAATGAAATGAGCTGACAACTATAGTCGGAGCAGATGTGTAAAGTACTGTTATAGCACATTACACCATCAATTATGTGTCAAGCATGCTGCCAAATATTAAGTGTTCTGACCTTTGTTATTAATAATAGAGGCAGACAGCGGGGACATGTGAAAGACAAATAATGTAATGCGTGGAAAGTCTATTATGGATTTGATTTTGTTAATGGATGTAGAGCCTATTTGGTATCCTGCCCCTGCCCTTGCAAGCTATAATTTTATTAAAAACTGGACATACCATGTAATGGGAAGCTACATTGTGAAAAACATACTTTGATAGAATTAAATGTACCTAAGTTAAATAAATAATAGTGAGAGCGCACTTGTCATCAAGCTTTACTGCTTTATTTATATGTGTATTTGTCATTTCCCCTGTTCCTCAGGAAATAGTGTGGAAGAAGTGAAACGAAGCAAGCTTGTCTCTACTGTATTCTGCATTCATTCTTGTATTTTTAAGTTGTTGTTTTGCTCAATATCATGTACCATCTTGTAGAGATTGGCTAGTCAAAGGTTTAGTCAACATCTTTCTCCAGAATATAGCTTCTAGCATTTTTAAGTGATCATGCAGGACAACATTGATAATCTGTAAAAATGAGAAAAACAGTGGAATGGCCAACCAAAGGACAGAGATAAGCACTTATGAAGGGAGTGGTGGTGCTTTAAAAAAACAAACAAACAAAAAAAAAAGGACACAAACTCCAACCCCTTAACTGACTTAAGAAGAAGAACCCTTTAACTGAGCAAAGAAAATAGAAGACATGGGACAGAGGAAACTCCTTCCTCTGCAGGCACAGATGGCACAATTTCCTGCTTCCTTCTCAGTGTAGAATATAGATCCCAGAATGTCTTGCCAGTAAAACGTTAAGTAGTTGGTCCAGGATTTCATGTGGAGTGCACTGCAACTGTTTATATGAAAATCGATGGATCATTTACACTTATCAGAAAGCTTGCTTTGGTCCTAAAAGTTGTAGAATTTCTCTTATCACAATATTTGTTAACGTTATATTACTTTCAGCCAATAGAACAATTTTTTTATTTTTTTTTAAATTTAAGATTACATTTGGGCTTAACTGGCTGGGTGACAGTAATTGCATCTACAAACTATCTCTCTAAACTTCAGTAATCTGGGCTTGCATAAGATTAATGAAAAATTAGAGCTCCTCTGATTTGTAGTACATTTTTGTCACTTTCTTTGTGTCTTGTCATAAATTCTAAATAGGTGTTGAAGTCTGGATTTCCACTGCAAAACAATTTTGAGGGTTTGGGTTTTTTTTCTGTCCTACACTAAAATCCAGTGCACAATTAAGAAAAAGCAAGGAATTTAAAATAAAATGTAGGAACCGAGACAGTATATTTTTGTGAAATTAACCAAAATTTGGACAAAATAAAAAATTTTGCCAGACAACTATTACATTTACAGAAGCAGTTGCATTCCTCTCAAAAATTTCTAATCAACCAGAACTTAAGATTTCATTTGATGTTCATGTCAACAATAAAGTTTGACTCTTGTACAAAATTAAATCACTCCACAAGCTCTTTACGTGTGTGTTCCTTTAAACAGTTTGACACGGATGAGAATAATTTGCTGCAGTTAAAAAATACATCAACTTACAGTGAATATACCAGGATGAAATCATTGATCTGTGTCAAGGTAATATAGGAAACATATTGAAAAATCAACATATTTTTTCTTTTTTTTTTTTTTTTTTTCCTAACTGGGCACCGCGTGTACTGTATTTAGTATACGTGTATGGACTTCCTTCTCCCTTTCTTGCTAAATCAGAAGAGGGGAGAGAACAAAGGCCTTCTAGTGATCAAGCTGGTTTTCCACAGCATATTTGTAAGTTTGAATTGAAGCCATCCGTACAAGCAAATGGCTTTATTAAACTAAGCACAAAATAATTCAGATGCAAGAATGATGATTCATTTTTTTTTAAAAAGTAATTCTATATATCCGCTCCAGAAATTGTTTTCTTTTTGTTCATATTAAGTGAGCACTTCATGTAGTAGGCACATGCCACTCTGGCCCATAGAATATCCAGGAAGAAATGCAGTTGAAAACAATACTGTATTAAATTTGATACAATACTTTATTAAGCCACTACTTTTTTCATGTTTTGACTTTTGTTCATACATATTTTATACGTGTATATCAGATTTTCTGTCCAGCTGGAAAGACGTGGCTTGATTTCCTGACCAAAGAGGATTTTATCAACACACAGTATTTCTAACAAATATAACATCTTTCCTGCTCCATACCCTGGCTTCTTATCAACTAAGTAATTTTGAGTTTCAGTACTTACTTTTCTGTCAATCTAGGCCTGTACCTTGAATATCTGAAATAGCAATAGCCAACATTTTGCCTACAGTGGGCTGCCCAGGCTTTCAAGGGATTCATCGAAGGTTGGTGAACCTTTGGTTGGACTCCCTTTCCACGTCACCCCCACGATCTGCTTGGGTCTCCTAGGTTCACCTACTGGCTGCCTAAACGCGGTTTCCATTCTGTGCCTTTTACACGATGGACTGGCATCCAGCCTCGTGACGGGATACACGCGCCGGCCACCTCCGCGCCGAGACCTCCCACGCTGTACGTGTTCCCACCACGTGGCAGACAGGCATCTGCCATGCTGGCATTCGCTGCGCTGCTGCAGCGACCCGCTTCCCGATACTCAAGGGGCACGTGCTGCAACACCCTCAGGAAACAGTCTGGCAGGGATGAGGCTACTCCAACCCTGCTCTTTTCACCTCTCAGGAGAGATGAAAGCAAGCAGACGGTGGCTGAATGAGTTGTTTGTTCAGCTTGGGTTTTTGTCTGTGACTTACTGATTGGGAACCTGCAAGGAGAGCGGGGGTGGTGGGGAGCGCGATGCCCCGTGTTGCCAACAAATTTGAAGGCAAGGCCCCAAGATACCGCTTGCTGGGTGGCTTGGGTAAGACATGACCCTTCCTATGGAGGCAAGGAAAGAGATGAAGTCCCGAATGAGTGTGTTTCTGAGACTGATAGCTTGATTGTTGAAATCTCCCAGGACAAAGTAGTGTGTCATGACACTGTGGTTTAGTGAGGCTTTAGTGAAAACATGTTTTTTTAACATCATAACACTTCGACGCAGAAAATGACTTTGAAATCTGTGTTAGCTTCGGCTTCTGTGTTTAACTATACTTAGGGAGATGAGTTCTGTGAATCTGCCGTGCCCTGAGGCATTTCTCCTGTATTTGACAGCTGATAAGGAAGTGGATGCAACAGCATGTGCCATTTTGTACTCTTTTAGTTGTTTGTGAGACAAGGAGCAGTTTTGTTTGAGGTGAGCTGGTTCAGAACTGGTTGTTTTATTTGTGTAATGTTCAAAATCACTGAAGTGAAAGAACTTATTTTTTGTTAGTAGTGGAGTTTGATAAGGAAACTCAAATTTCAATTTCTATAGTTTCACGTTTCTGGTTTTAGACACAGGTTTTACACTGTTACAGCCTGGTGTTTCTTGGACTAGAGCAACAGTTTTGCAGTAAACTCTACAGAGTCTGCAGCCAGTTGCTAGACACTTTTTACAGAGTGTACCTCTATATTTTGTGTCTCATACTGCCATCTAAGGGCCACGTAGGCTGAGAAAGTGGCTAAAGGTTCTTCAGTATTTTTCTTTCTCCTTACTGCCCTTCCCTTTGGGAAGTCAGCAGTTCATGGATGAGAAGGGTGGGCAGGGAATAACAGGAGTCCTTTGATGCAATATATTGTTTCATCTAAGAGGACAGAAGAATCTTTCAGATAAGTGAGAAATTAGAATGTGAATTTGAATCGTAGTCTTTCCGAAAAATGCAATTGCAATGAGTTTGCGTAAAAGCCAGCAAATAAGAACGCGATATTACAGGATTTGAGGCTACTCTTGAAACAAGAAGTTAAGGAGTGTAGTGCTTAGAGTCCTAAAGAGTTTCAGTTGAAACTCTTAGCAGTGATGGAGTGTGCAGTTCAGATTCTCTTAAAGGTACCAAAGTCCTTGACTCATACTGATTTAAGGATTAATGCTTTATAACAGGACTTGCTTATTAACATTTCCCCTAAAAAGGTACAAAATAACATGAATTATTTTCTTCCTTTTTAAAATTTAACCGTTTTTGCATTTCTGGGTGTTTCAATTTTCCTGGACTAAGGGAAAATGGGCAAAAATTTGGTGTTACTTTGAGAGTATGTGATATTAAATAACATGAACATCATGTAAATGTTTTGGGGTTTAAGTATTCAAAATTTTATCATAAAAACTTTTCTTTCCAGGATAAAAATGCCTTTCTTTTTTTTTTTTAATATATAAATCTTCAAATTGTACTGGTATAGGCTTAATTCTATAGCTCCTTTCTCAAACAGATGTTTTCAGCTACAGGAGTGATAAAGAATTAGTGGGAGAAGCAAAACATTTCAGTATTTGTCAATATAGTACTGTTGGCACTGACTGACAAAAGCTGTTTTTATAATGAGGACCCCTTAGAGCACAACTTTATTTTACAATGTATGAGTTGTTTTTCAGGCTAGTTTCCAGCAAACCTTGTGTAATAGAGAAAGTAATTAATCTTGCATGTTACTTTGACAGGCTCATGCAAGCAAAGACCTGGAAGAGCAGTTGCGGTCTGTGTCCAGTGTGGATGAACTCATGACAGTACTTTACCCAGAATACTGGAAAATGTTCAAATGTCAGTTGAGGAAAGGAGGTTGGCAACACAACAGGGAACACTCCAGCTTTGACACAAGATCAGATGATTCCCTGAAATTTGCTGCAGCACACTATAATGCAGAGATCCTGAAAAGTAAGTACAGGACACAAAATATGTTCTAACACACAATAAATTAAAATTAAAATCCGAAGGCTTCTCACTTGTGTCAAAAATATTTTAAAAACTAAGCATTGTCAGTAAACCAACCTCAGCAGTTTGATCTGATGTCATGTCTATAATATAAAAATCTTTGAGAGTCAACCTTCCATAATGAAATAAATTGCTCCGCAGATGTATTTTTGGTACATCCATTGTAAGAAAGATATAGACTGCTTTCTCAGCTCAGTAAGTGCAGGAAGTTAAGTGTTTCTCTTCAGGTATAAGGAATTCTGCTTTGTAGAGACTGTAACAATTTTGCAGAAAGCAGAGAGGGTACTAATAGTTGGATTCATTGAACTGTTTCTGCTCATTTTCTGCAATTACGTCACAGATGGTAATGCTTTCTTCTCTTACACGTTATTGCTTTAGGATGCTAAATAATCCACTTGTAGATTTTTTCCTGTTACAAGAGGGCAGTTGTCATGATGTTACGCTCAAATCAGAAAAAAACCAGCTTTCAAACCAGTATGTCAATACCTCTTAGCGTTTCAGATGGCCTGGATATAAATATATTAGCTTACAGTTTAAGCAAGCGCTTGCAGGCAGAGAAACACAGGTATTTATAGCAGGAGGTGTATTTTTTGATGTGATATTGGAAATCATGTACCTTAATGGAGACTTTAAGGTACACATTAGGTGAAATTTCCATTTTTGCTGAATAGCCTACCAAAAACTGGCACCAAGAGAGACTAAAGGAGCCTGTACAACTGCAAGTGTTATGGCTGTTTAGAGTAAGATTGTATTTGGTAAAAGGCTGTATGACACGATGTAAAATGTTTGCCCAAATTTGCGTGGATAATCTGTGCACAAATATCACCTTTCAGATTAAATCATATGGAGTATATAATTGCTAAATAATCTTTTGCTTTAAATTATACTTTTGTAGCTAACAAGGTAAACATATTCAAACTAATTTCATGTTAAGTGTGTAGGCATCAAATTTAATGTTTCTACTATATAGTATACAAGTGAAGTACTGTGTGGAACCAGTTAAAATTACTTTGCAGAGATGGGCAGTACTTCTTTAGATTTCACTCAAGGTGAGACTAACCTCAAACATAGGAGGAAGGACATGTACAGCTTTAGCTGCTGGTCAGCAGGTTGAGGGAGGTGATTCTTCCCATCTATTCCACCTTCATGAGACCCCACCTGGAGTACTGCGTTCAGCTCTGGGGTCCCCAACATAAGAGGGACATGGATCTGTTG